GCACCACCAGAGATAATCATGAGATTCAGATATGTGTATTCTGTAGGTTTGGGATATTCGAGGATAAGTTTCTTGAGAGGATATAGATTCTGTGAATGATGGAAATGAAACTCATTTCTGACTGCTGAAAACTATTCTGTTTTCTAGGCCATGTAATAAATGTCTTGCTCATACCTAAAATGTACCAATAAACTCAATAAAAGAAAAAAAATTTAAATGTCTTGCTCAAATGCTGTGAGAGACTCTCAGGCCGTGGAGGTGACAATCCATGCAAAAGTCTTTTTTGAGAAGGAAGTAAGTACATTACAAACTTACTAGAATATAAGTTACATGAGGACAATGACTTCTGCTCTGTTCACTATTGTATCTCTGGCACCTAAAACATTTGGCATTTTATTTTCACTTAATACATATTTGCTGAATGTATTCCTGCATGAAATTAGTGGAAATTAGATCCATTCTATACAGTAAATATTTATGTAAGGGCTTCATGCCTTACACAGTGTGGATTATAACAATCACCAAATGAGTGAAAGATATTCATGAGCACAATAACAAGCAAAAAGCAATTTACCTTTGAGGAGAGGCATGACATGGTCCTATCATCTCCAAACAATAACATTGCGGAGTTATGAGGCCAAGAGACAGTGCAAACTCTGTGGAAACCTCAATAAAAGTCTTCTATATAGCTAGTGAATTGTTCTAAAGTGGCTAATGGGATAAGTGATGATTCAGAGGGTTCACCAGGGGAAAAAATGATGCTAGTTGACACAACTTCCTTAACTGTATCTCCTCCACTTTTTTGTCCTCTGGACATTGAACAAAGAAGCCAGCAACAAAGGAAGAGACATTGCTCACAGGTGTTATCCTGGTGCTGAAACCTAGTTTGTCATTGGGGAGAAGCTCAATTAACCTCTCCACTGCCCTCTCCCTCCCAGGTTTTGTCTGTAAAATCCAAAAATCTGAAATATTCCATAAAAAGGAGGTCAAATCTTTGAAGCATCAAACTTGAACCAGTCACTTTCCAAAAGTTGAGACAGTGTTGAATGTATCTAACACACGTTTGATTTTGTTCTTTCTTACTCCAGCTGAGTCTAAGACTGTGAATCTCTCACCACCACCACTGCCCTCCTAAAACACTGCCCCATCTCCCTAAGTCTAGAGGGCTAAAGAGCTTGCTCCTTCTGCCACTAATGGCCCTGAGCACCAGAAGTTTAATCCCCACTTTCAAGTAAACTATAATATATTTAAAAGTTGAAAATGACCCTGAAAAGAAAAATTCACACACAGCAAAAAGATGTATCCTTGTTCCTTAGAAATCCAAGTGATAGGCTCCAGCTAGCAAATATTTTTAAAAGTTATCTATTTAAAAAACCCTCTAACTTCCTACCCCAGTGATTTTGAAAAATAGCTAAAGCTCTTGGAGTTTTCTCAGATTAGGGACACAGCCTGTCTTTCGAGGTATCCCTTAGTGTACTCTTTACTTCAATAAGTAAGATAGACAGTATAGGGACCATGCCATCTTGGTAATTGGAGTTGGGTACAGGAAGCTATGCCAAATGACTCTCCAACTTTGTCCTTAAAAAATGCAGCCCTAAAGTTGGGTACAGTGGTATGCACCTGTAATCCCCGCTATTCAGGAGCCTGAGGAAGGACGATCTCATGTTCCAGGCCAGCCTGGGCAATTTAGTGAGACCCATCTCAAAATAAATAAATAAATAAATAAAAAGGGATGGGGATGTACTCAGTGATACAGCACTTTGTATCATGTACAGAGTCCTGGGTTCAATTCTCAGTACTACAAAAACAACAACAACAAAATCAGCCCTAGAAGTTACTGAATTTACAAATAATGTCCATCCCAACCCAGGAATGCTGCTAGTCAGATAAAGTGTTCAGGAAGCCTGCTTGTCAGCGGGGTGTAGTTACAAATATCCCTGCATAGGGCTGAAACATGATGGATCCTTTCCTAGAATGAATTTTTTTATGAGAATCTGTTTAATCAACTTTTAGCAGCTCAGTAGTTTTTCATGACAAAATAATGTATTTCATCCTAAAAAACATGCTGCCCAATAACTTCTATACCACCTCAGCACTGCAATGAAGCCAGTTTTCAGATCAGTGAGGCAGCCAATTGCCAAACAGGAAAAGGTACAATAGATTGGTAAATGGAGATTCGTATGCACCATACTTGGAGAAGAGGAAAAGGTTATGGGACAAAGTTGTACATAACACTATACTCTTCTATACCAGAAGGCACTGAGTTTAACTTCAGAGTATGGGCCTTCTTGTTAATGCAGGAAACTGAGGTGTGCCAACTCCTAGCAGCATCTTACCTAGTTCTTTGCTCCCTTTCCTCCCTTCTTCACCTAAAGACAGGGTACCTTAGTATACCCTAGGAAAGCTGTATCTCTTCATGATTCCAGCCAGATATCTGCTCAATGCTGCTGCCTCTCACTAGAAAAGATCTGTTGTCCCAGGATGCTGACCTTGCCGTGCTCTCAGTACTCAGGGATCCCACAGGGCACAAAGGAAGTAAGACCTGAAACAATGGACTAGCCCCCACAGGCCTACCCCTTCCATTATGAAGAATTCCAGATGACTGTGAGACCACAAATCCAAGGGGCAAGGGAATAAAAGCTGCTTCCTCATTTCTCCTTATTACTAATAACTCAGGCTGGTCTTCAAACTTACCATTCTTTTTTTTTTCTTTTTGATACCAGCGATTGAACTCAGGAACTTGAACTTGTGAGGCAGGAGGTGGAACCACTGAGCTAAATCCCCAGCCCCTTACCATTCTTTTTTGACAGAGGGACGCAAAGGCAGTGAGTTTAGGGAAGTGTCACTGGGTGCTGGGATGCATCTATTAACAAATGTTCCTTAATTGTCTGTAGTGTGCTTGGAATTTGGCAGATAATGTGTCTGCGCTCTCAGGGAGCTTCTGATATAGTAAGGGAGGAATGCACATAAGCTGGCAACTGTGGTATTGTGACTGTGCTGAGAAGGGGGAAGGGTAGAATCTTGGGAAAATGGAAGAAGGTGGTCTTTTAACTGACTTGAAGGTGGTGAGGGCAGTTCAAGAAGTCTTCCTTAGCAAAATATCTGGAACTGGAAAGACAGAATAGTCCTAGACATATCAGTGGAATGAGCAGAGCGACCGGTCATACAGGGTCATGGAATGCAGCCTGAGAGCAATGGGGAACTGTTGAGGCAGGGGAAGTGACGTGACCAGGTTTGTCAGAGAAGGGATGTTACACAGAGGAGATAGTGCTTCTCTCAGCACCTGCGCCTGAGCTCTGCCCTGAGAGGTTCCGTAAAGCTTGGTACCTGCCAACACAGTAGGCAGGAATTGTGATGCTTAAAGGAAACAAGGAGGTGAAAGTGCATCCAAAGATGTTTCTAGGATGGTTAATATTTGGGTTTCATAGTCCACATACGCCTTATTTAAGGCTTATAATATTCTCAGCCCCAAGTATAAAAGCTCAGCTCACTCATCAGTACTTCAGCAAGTATTCTGAAAATTCTCTTTTTTCCCTTTCATTTGTCGTTTGAAAATTCATCTTCCTTAGTGATAATACAGCCAAAAGGGACATGCTGCACAAGTCCAACATGTTGATGCCTTGTTATTAATCCCTCTATATAGCCAGTGGGGTCCCAGATAAACGCTTCTGATGCCCACAAACCCTTCTCTAGAAAGGTTAGGGGAAGCCCCAGTCAGCTTAGGAATAATCCTTGCAAAGTGACACTGACCCCCTCCCATCCCACCCTTGTACGCAACACAAATTCAAGACAGCTGGTAGGAGAATTTCACTGAAGAACTGAAAATCCTTGGCTTTTCACTGCTGTAATTTAGGAGAGAGTGGGAGACTGAAGATACAGGAGAGCTAGAGAGAAAACAGATAGAAAGAAAGGGATGGGGAAAAGAGAGAACAGACACAGGGTGAGGCATAGAAAAGAAACAGTGAGCGAGAGTGATCCAGAGAAAGGACAGATGAAGGAAAACTTCAAGGAGAGAGGGAGGGAGAGGAGAGGAGAGAAAAAGAGGGACGGAAGAAGAGGCACTCAGTCACAGAGCTGCTTAGGAAAGTTTGAGGAAGGGTCAGGCAGAAAAAAACTGGAGCTGCTGAAGCACCTGGATACTATAAGCAAATGTGCAAAAGGAAAGGGAGGACACCACTGGCTTCTTCTCCCCTCTATCTATAGCTGCAGCTTCTAGGTCCCCACTCCTTCCACCCCACAATTCCTCTGAAGCCGGAAAAAACTGGTGTCCCAGCCTTGCTCAGCCCTCCCACTGCCCAGGACAGTGGTCTCTTCCCATGAACAGAGTTGGGGAAACGGTGTGGAGGAAGGACTTTGAGAACTACAAAGAGCCCCATGATCCCCAGAGATGAACTGAATGAGGGAAGCAGGCAAGAGAAAGAATGCACAGCTACAAGGATGAAGGGGGCTGGGGGCAAGCAGACCGGCAGACTGACAGAATGACAGGCCGGCCAGCCACACAGGAGAAGGGCTTTGAAGTTCTTCTATCATCTATCCTCTGTATCTCCATCCAGAGGATGAGGAAAAGCTGCCCCTGCCCTCAGCCTCTTCCTCCCCTCTCCTCGTGGACCGGAAGCTCTCAGCTTAAGGAAACCTAGTGGCACTGCCTAACCCCTGTGAGGTCTTTCCCCTTCCTTATAAAAATCCTTAGAACTTTTCTTCCTTAATGTTGGTCCCCAGCTTGGGTGTAGGCTAATAGGAAAGCTGTTGGTGGGGCACAGCAGGGCTGCCTATGTGCACTCCTCCAGCTGGAGTGCTGGAGGCTGGACAGAACACCTCAGGCTTTCCCCAAGTGGCAGAGGCAGCCCAAGCTCCTCCCTTGCACGTGGCATACAAACAGGCTCTGAACCACACTCCAGCTGCTGGTGACTGTGCCTTTAAATTGCTGCTTTCGGAGGGTGCATCTAGGGGAGGTGGGAGGAGAGGAAACATCTTCCTACTGGTCTCCCTCCTCTCTTCCTCCAAGACTCTCCAGGGTTTGGAGAGTGATTGCTGCCCAAAGAGAATCTTTTTTACTTCCCTGGCGAAAGGCCCTCTGCAGCCCAAGGCGAGCCTGAGCTGGAGCCGCTAGGGTTATCTGTGTCAGGATCATTTCCGGGGGAATAGCTCTGGACCCTGACTGGTAAAGACAGGGCAAAGGAGAGGAGACAGAAGAAGAGAGTCCAACTCCTAACCCAGCCCCTTTGCTCACTGTGAGTAGCCCAAGTTGGAGGAAGGTACTGTACTGTGGGTGTTCTGCAGGGATATCCCCTCTCACCTTGGCAGTCAGGCTGAGAAAGGGCTCCAAGGTCCCCGTGGAATGACGACTCTTGTTCCTGCAACCCTCTCCTTCCTTCTCCTCTGGACCCTGCCAGGGCAGATCCTCCTCAGGTGAGCTGAGTGGGGTGAGGAGATGCATGCAAACACTGGTGGGGGAAGGGGACCGCCAGGAGAGCTGGCAGAGTTTCCTCAAGTTTGCAGAGAGAACTCAGTATGGAGGGCTCCAGGGGAGGACACTCTTCCCCAGTCAGGACCTAGGAACTTTCCACTGGCGATGTCAAGGACCCAGTGCTGGTGGGAAGGCGTAAGCATGGGTGAGAGTTTCCTGGGCTTGGGTAAGGGTAGGGATGGGTGGCTTTGGTAGGGGCTGGGTAGTTGAGCCCCCAAAATGAAGGCTGTCAGTCCTGTTAGCCAAATCTGTCTTCCTACCAGCTGTGTCACTTACTGCTTAGATCCCTAAAAATGAGAAAAACATCTTGTCAGCTATCTGCTCAAGGGGTTTCAGATAGTATGGGTTTGCCCCAAGACCGTATCAGGATGGAGCTAGGCTACCCAAGCCTTGTCCTTCTTCAATCATCCTGCCTGTGCACACATGGCTGCTCACTGTCTCTCAAGGAGCGAGCGCTAAGTGGCAATAATTTCCTGGGCTTGCAGCCAAGGAATTCTTGGGGTTCCTTGTAAATGCCACCCTACCAATTGTTCCTTTCTTGTTAGACCAGGAGCCAGTCTAGCTTGACAGGTTGAGCAGAACAGGAAAGATGGATATAGCTTGGGCTGAGCTGGTCATAAGAGCACATTCCAACGTGGAAGGAATAAGTGCCACCACAGCATCCTCCTCCTCTTAATTCACAGGGTACCCCCAGAGCTCTGCCTCTGAGGTGGTTCCTGTCTCACTGGCTGGCTTTCAGGCAAAGATGCAGAAACAGACAGTAAACTTAGGAGCAAAAGCAGCTCAAAGTAGAATGACAGCTCAGCTGGATTTGAAAGGAGAATAAAGACCAAAGAGGGCTCCCATCTAGACCTTGGTGGCTCTCCTGGAGGGGAGACTGATTCAAGGGCTAAGCGCCAATGGCAGCATTCCCACTTGGGTTGGGGGACTGCAGGCAATTAGAACAAGATGGGCCCTTAGAGAAACGTCAGTCCAAGTTTTGTTTTTGTTTTGTTGTTGTTATTTATTTATTTCTGGTACCAGGGATCGAACTTAGGACCTTGTGCTTGCTTGCAAGGCAGGCATGGTGCTTCTGAGCTAAATCCCCGGCCCTCTGTGTTGCTGATTGTACATATGCAAACTGAAATCTAAAGAGGGGGAGTGACCTGTGCAAGGTTGTTCAGGTACCTAGTAGCTGAATCAGTTTTTCCCTCATCCAACCCCAGGGCTTTGCATAAGAAAAAATGTCAGCTCTGTATTCTCCTAGGTCTTGCCAGTGTTTGGCACTTTCCAGGAATGAAAGAGAGGGAAAAAATGGCTATACACAGTGACACACTAGTCACAGGTCCTCAGATAAGATACCCCAGATGAGGGTGCCACAACAGCAATTGGGGATGAAGACAGCCGAACCCACAGTCTGACTGTGTCTAGTGGGACTAGTGGGAGAGGTGACCTGAGAGTGGGGCTAAAGACAATGGAGGAAGGTCTGATTTTTCCACATAAAGGGCCATGTGACTTCCCATCAGGCAGGTGGCAGGTGGCCAGCAGTAGCAACAGCACCTGGCTAGCATGGACACCCTGTGGTGAGACCACAAACTTCTGCTTGCTCCAGCACCACCACTGGCCTCCTCAGATTTTTACAGATGGCTTAGGCCACATGCTTTCATCACTCTTGCTGAGGTCCAGGGTGGCCTCCATGCCCAGTATGAGGGCTTCCTTTTTCTTAGGGAATTCAAGGAGACAGGATTCAAAGATATCGAAGTGGGGCTGCCACTGACCTTCCCCTACTCTGGTTCCTTGGCTGCTCACCCTAGGCTGCTTGCATCATGTACTGTGGTAGATAGATTCAGTCCTGAAGTAAATAACTGTTTGAATCTTGGCTTTACCACTATATAGGCTTTACTAGCTATATAGTCATGAAGTCACTTTATTTCATTGATCCTCAGTCTCATCTATATACAGTCAATTTTTCCATATCTATGGGTTCCACATCTGTGAGTTCAACTAACTGCAGATCAAGAATATATTTTAAAAAAACAATGCTAAACCAAGAATAATACATGCCTATAATCCAGCTACTTAGAAGGCTGATGCACAATGATTGCCAAGTTTGAGGCCAGCCTGGGGGACTCAGTGAGATCCTGTATCAAAATAAAATTTAAAAAGAAGCAGGGATATAGCTCAGTGACGGAACACTTACCTAGTATGTACAAAACCCTGAATTCAATCCCCAGGACCATAAAACAAAATTGCACCTATGTTAAACATCTACATATTTTCATCATTATTCCCTAAATAATAATATAACAACTATCTATATAAAATTTACATTTCACTATGTTTTTAAGTAATCCAGAGATGATGTAATTACATGGGAGGATGTATGTGTATTATCTAGAAATACTATCCCATCTTATATAAGGGACTTGAAAATATATAAAAATGAAGTGGAATCAACGCCCCCCCCCCGGGACAACTGTAATATGTATAATCCAAAAGGACTGAGGTGAATACTAAATGAGATAAATTATGTGAAGTGTTTAGTTTGATTCCTTTCATTATTCTACTAGTCACTGTAGACTTATGGACTTTCTGGGAAAGAAAGGCCCCCTAGCACTAAGGAGACTAGGGCCCAAAAAGATAGCCACGGTGCTGACCAGCCCCGTGGTGCAGCAGCAGCCATGGCAGCAGTGGAGCTGGCTATCGATGTGCTCGACACAACAATGACAGCAGGATAGAACAGAATGAAGAAGTCCAGGAGTCCAGCCTGGGCTTGGTCCTGAGCTCTGCTCTTGCCCCCAAGGATTTGGTAAGCTCCTGGCCCCTGGTCTATCTGTTAGCTGGTAAACTAGTAAGCAGATATGTGGAGGGAGCTTTGCTACTCTTAGAGGGAAATTATTCAGGGAAGAAAGAAGCTGGTTTCTAGGCCAGGCAAAAGCATACTGGCACCTGCCTCAAAATCAACCTGTTGGCAGAGAAAAAAAATGGAAGTTAATTTTCTCAGCATTTCGTGCCTACTGGGAGGCTCTTTCATGTCCACAGGGACCTCCTTCCTTAGCTGAGTTTACCTGCCTGCAGTGGCCCAGAACCACATCATATCTCAACAGATAGCTTCCTGCTAAATACCAGAAGTTAAGCCTCTCTCCTTTCAGAAGCTGGATTCTAGGTCCTGAGCAGGGTCACATGAAGCCCAAGCAATTAACACCAACTCTCAAGGATTCAGTTTGTTACTGAGCCTTTCCCATCCTTGGCTAGGCCACATGAACGAAACATTACAAATATTACAGTGAGATGTCACTTTTCAAAAGTGCTTTCTTATTTTAGTGCTTTCAAAGTACTTTCAGAAAGACAACAGTGGATGAAGGCTCAGCCCAATATTTAAGTCCTAGTCCTGTCTCTCATTAACTCTGAGATTTTGGACAAATAATTCACTTTTAAACCTCGGTTTTTCATCGTAAAATGGAAATAACAGTCTTCATTTCCATTTTATTGAAAATTGTGAGATTAAAATGATCCAATCTATGTGAAAGCCCTTTCCTAGGACAACTGGTGAGTTACCACATTGGCTTATGGCTTTTTTTTTTGTTTGTACACATTTTGTACATTGGTACCCAGAGGCTCATTCTCTCTTATCCTCCTGCCTGATGAGGAGAATGGCTGGAGGTGGGTGGGGATGAGAATGGAGAGAGTCTGTGATAAATTTAGAATACAACTGGCCTCAGACCTCTTTACCTCTCCTGTCCAGGGTGGCCTTGGCAAAAGATGTCAAATCTGGGACCAAGGGGTCTCTGCCCATGTCCCCTTCTGATTTCCTAGACAAGCTTATGGGGCGAACATCTGGATATGATGCCAGGATTCGGCCCAATTTTAAAGGTAAGAAACAGTGATCCTACATAAACCTCTCCTTCCTTGCCACTTTGGCAGCCTACTACCCAGCCCTGTTCCTGTGGCCTGCCCCAAGGAAGGAGGCTGGAGGTTCAGAGCTAGTTCTTACATCTCCCTGTTGCCCATGGGCCTGTGTTAGCTGACACTGTCTTCTCCCAGCAGTGCCCTCACCTAAAACTCAGGGAGGGAGTTCTAGAACCTGCTCCCAGCTTCCTGGAATGCCCTGCCAATGGGTTGTGCTTTACTATTCTTAGGCCCACCAGTGAATGTGACCTGCAACATCTTCATCAACAGTTTTGGCTCCGTAACTGAGACCACCATGGTAAGGGATCTTCCTTTTCTCCACTACAACTCCAATGTGAATGGGGTAAGCTAATAAGACAGCAAGCATTTCCTCCTGTTGCTACCCTCTTCTTGTTTCAAGGTCATAGCTAAAGTCATAGGATATTGGAAGTTATTCAATGGGAAAATATTTCTCCTAGTCTCAGACTTTCACTGCTATGGATAGACAAGCTGCAGTACCAGAGATCAAATGTGTAATAGCTTGATACAGAGAAGTCTTTGGAATCAGAGAAACCTGGGTTCAAATTCTGACTCTATCACTTAATAGTTGTGTTGAGCAGATTTACCTAAATCTATTTTGATCTCAGTTTCTCGTCTGTAAAATTGAGATTATGATGGCACTGTCCTCACAAGACTGGTGTGAGATTTAAATGAGATATACATACAAGAGAGCTCTTAGCAGAGCTTGGCAGATAGATGCCTTTTCCCTTCCTGTTTTTGCTATTATCAGCCCAAGGTAGCTCCTTCTTCAGCAAGTAATATCTACTACTCCCAACACATGGTTCCTAGCATTTCCTCCTCACTGTTCTCTTACTTGTGTAGACTTGCTGGACCTGTGGTAACAGTACTACCTGTGATGGAACAATCTCTCTACCTTCCCAGGACTATCGGGTAAATGTCTTCTTGAGGCAACAGTGGAATGATCCACGCCTGGCCTACCAAGAATATCCTGATGACTCACTGGACCTCGATCCTTCCATGCTGGACTCTATCTGGAAGCCAGACCTGTTCTTTGCTAATGAAAAAGGGGCCAACTTCCATGAAGTGACGACAGACAACAAGTTGCTGCGCATCTTCAAGAATGGGAATGTGCTCTACAGCATCAGGTACACCTGGCGGATGGCCAGGAGTTTATGTCAAAAGAAAGAAGCCAGATGGAGGCTGAAGGGTGGGAGGCGGATGCCCAGCACAGTGCTGAACCCCAGTAAGCTGTCACTTTTTCTTACTGTTCCTACCAGATTAACCCTCATTTTGTCCTGCCCAATGGACCTCAAGAACTTCCCCATGGACATCCAGACTTGCACAATGCAGCTGGAAAGCTGTAAGTATCTGTAGAGTCACGGAACAAGGCCTGGAAAAACAGCTAAGTTACCATTCCATGATACTCTAGACAGAAGGGCCACTCAGTGTGGGGAAGGTCTTACCCAAGCACACACAGTCTATTCTTGGCAGAGATGAGAGTAGAAGCCATAGTTTCCTGACACACAGTTTAACAGGTTTTTTCTACCCCCATACTAGTTGCTGGTCTGGGTGTTTCAAAGGGGTGAGTACCAAATATGCTTGTGCTGTCTGTGTGTGTGGGGGGGGTGATTTGAAGGGCTCCTTCTCTGTTCAAGTTTATATTCCCTCTTACAGTGCCGGAAGTAGTTTTTCTTTACTTCCCCTGAGTTAAGGCATTGAAGATGCTCATAAAATGCCATTGTTGGGTAGGGCACGGAGATTCTTTGAACTCTAATACTTCATGAACATAGATAGCATTATAGAGAAGTAAGAAAAAACAGTTCCAAGCAGAGGACTGTGCCTAGAGAGAAGTCAGCCAAAGGCTCCTCTCTGGCAGAGGCATCAGCCTGTATGGACTGCCCAAAGTATAGAGGAGCAAAAGGATGGTAAGCCTGGGCCATCACCTATTTCTGTTCCTTCTCCATTTCCTGAGTGAAGTGAGACTGCAAGATCAGGAGATACGCACAAGGTCCTCAGAAAAGAAGGCTTATAAGACTGTTTTCGTATATAACAACAATGATGCATAGAACATGTCCTATGTTCATCTCCTTAAAGACCATAAACCACTTTCACATCCAGATCTCCATTACACTTCATAACAGCTTTGAAAAAAATGGTAGAGCGATCCCAACAATGAATGTAACCGTACTGTCTCCCTAAAATGTACCAATAAACTCAATTTAAAAAATGGCAGAGCGACTACTATTATCCCCATTTTATAGAAGGGGAAGTGACTTAACCATAGTAACACAGCCCCTTTGGGTCAAGACCCTACAGTGCTTTTTTCAGCCTTGGTGATTCTGCTCCCATTTCTCCTGTGAATGTTTCGACATTCAGCATGAGCCTTTATGAACTGCTAGCTAAGTGGGAGCCACTTGGCATGTTCAGATACTAACTCTCACTTTGTCACAATTTAAGGCCCTGGGTAGGAATCTGTGGTATTCACATTATCCCATGCATGACTGGCAGGATATAAATAGCTCTTTCTTCCCTGAGGTAGACACAGAATCCCTGGCTCTGAGGCTGGCTCAGCTCTAGACTTGTGATTGTATACTTGCTTATTCCTTTGGGCTTCCTCCAGGGGTCCCTGACATCTTTTCAACCCTCTTGGCATACCTTCTAGATCGGCCAGAATAATTTCTTTTTTATCCTTTCTTAAGCCTAAATACTGGATAGATGAGTCTGGAGTCATCTCTCTTAGGACAGACTCATGAGATAATTGACTAAGTATCCCCTTTAGAAGTTTCCCTTTCCAGGAAGAGCATACAGTTTCTAAATTTCAGGCCTTACTCCTTATCTGTTCTCTTCTGCCAGTTCTAACTCTCCCTCTACCCCTACCCAGCACCCACACTCTACAGCTCTCTGCCATCTCTGTCACTTGCAGTTGGCTATACCATGAATGATCTCGTGTTTGAGTGGCTGGAAGATGCTCCTGCTGTCCAAGTAGCTGAGGGGCTGACTCTGCCCCAGTTTATCTTGCGGGATGAAAAGGATCTAGGCTATTGTACCAAGAACTACAATACTGGTAAGAACCAAGCTCTTTGCTGGCTTTGAGGTACAGAAGGGCCTCCAGATAGGAGGCAAAGAAACAAGGCAGCCATCCTCTTAAAATTCCAATCTAGGCATGATATGACACGGCCTGCATCAACACTTTATCTCATAACTTATGACAATAGTGGTTATCAACACCATTTTCAGAAAGACAGCATCGAGTTTCCAAGAGGTTAAGTCAATTGTCCATGTCACACAGCTAATAAATGACAAATTTGGAATTCAAATCCAAAGCCCATGTTTTTGTCCCTTTCACATGCAGTAGAAAAAATAGCCCTGCACAATGAGTGGCAGAAGTTTCACTCTTCTTGGGGCCAAATTTGAGAGGTGATAAATCCATTTCTAATAGTAAATGGCTATGCGAAACTGGGAAGGAGCAGGCCTAAAGGCAGCAGGCAGGTTATTGTCTGTACCTCGTACTGCCACCAGTGTCCAACTCTCCTGAACTAGCCTGTTTTCCCAACCTGAAACCTAGGCCAGCAAGTGGAGTGGGGCTGCTTTTCCACCCCAAGCATCTACCCTCTGCAGCTTCCCTAAGAGTTGTTTGTTTCTCTTTCTCTCTGGTAATTTGACTGCGAGGAGGTGGAACCCTGAGAAAGAGGTAGCAGGCTAAAGAGAGGGAGATTCTAAGTCTTTCCTATGGTGTGCTGACATACTTCGGGTGCTTATGTACATGTATGTGCATAAATGTGGGGGTGAAGGGATGTGGGGAGTGGGTAGAGGAATAGTTCACTGAGTTTAGAAAATGCAGATGGGAATAGAAATTGGAATAATCTTATGGAGGGAAAATTGATGATTTATATGTAAGGCAGTGGTTTTCAAACTTTGGTATGCAATATATCCCTCTGGAGGGCCTGTTAAAATGTCGATTCTACCTTTCAGAGACTCTGAGTATACATATCAGGAATGATGCCCATAAATTTGCATTTTGACAAACATCTGGGTGATTCTGATGCAGGTGGTCTAGAAAACATGGTACTGTGAGGAACTTTAGTGTAGAAGCTTTATTTGCCCCCCTATTTTCTCATATCCAGGAACTACTTAGAATGTATAATAAGTAAATATTCCAAAATATCACATTGACTTTAGACAGCAAAAAGGCTGCTGGGTCAGTGTTTGCATTACCAAAACTTAGAATTATTCCAAGTATCTACCTGTAGGGCAGAGGTTAAATAAATTAGTATTCTTGTTTTATGCAATAATGCTCAGATTTTAAAAAGGATACTTGCAAGGCACTCATAACCACATGGATAAATATAATTGAAAAAAGTAACATTAAGAGTTATATACACAGAATGATTATATTGTTATGGAAGAACAAACCCAAAATGTGCATTTAAAAATCCTGGAAGGAGGCTTTTGTGGTTTTTCTCACAATAGCCCACCCTACTTCCGCTACAGTGTACTTTTACCTTGCCTTTTCCTCTTTTACTCAGCCCAAGCTCACTCTACAGAGCTAGTTTCTCCCTCACTCTTCACTTTTATTTTTTCAAATAAACTTTGTTGCTGCTTTAAAAACATCCTAGAAGGAAATACTAGCACCAAATATTTCGAAAGTAGTGTGATATAACAGATGAGAGAAAGAACTTTGGAGTCAAATAGACCTAAGTTTGTATTCTGGCTGCACTATTTAATAGTTGTGGGCCCTTGCTTTAATGCTCCTATCTTTTAAATGGGAGATCATGACATTATCTGCCTCAAAGAGTTGCTATAGGATTAAATGAGATAAAGTATATAAAGTCAGGGCACTTAGTAGAGATTTGATAAATGTAATCTTATGAATGTTATTATTCCTTCTCTTTTCATTTTTTCTATACTAAGCAAGGGTCAATTTTGTAAGTAAAACCAAAGCTATAAAAAAAGAAGGAAGGAAGAGAAAGATAATATGCATACTTAGTAAAAGCATGCCACAGCCAAGAAGCCTGGAGAGGTAGGGTGGACTCAGGGAACAACGGGAGGTAACAGCATGTCAGAGCCTTAATTGGAGATTAATAAAATCACTAGTCTTGAGGAATTAGATAGGCCAAACAGGAGTAAGCCTAGACCAAACTAAACTAAAATAATACACAGTCAACTCTCAATGTCCACAGGTTCTGCATCCAAAGAATCAACCAACTACAGAGCAAATCTATTCATGGAAAAAAATGGATCTGTGCTGAATATAAGCAGACTTTCCCCCTTGTAATTATTTTTGTTTATTATTTGTTTGTTGTGCTTAAGAAAGGGTCTCAGTATACAGTCCAAGCTGCTTCAGCCACCCAAATGCTGGGATTACAGGCATGTACCACCTCACGTGGCTGTAATTATTCTCTAAATTATATAGTATAACAACTATTTACATAGTATTAACATCTTGCTAGACATTATAATATAGAGATGATTTAAAGTATACAGGAGGATGTACATAGGTTATATGCAAACACTACCCTATTTTATATATGAAACTTGAGAATCCAGATTTTGTTATCTGCAGGAGAGTCCTGCACCCAATTCCCCACAGATACTAAGAGATGACTACACACATCCTCTTTTATGTATGCCTCTGCTTCTGAGGGAAGCTATGATCTGCTATTTTCTTAGCCTTAAAGCTTCGGGAGGCAGGGTAAAGTGAAGATCGCTGGCAGAGAAGGCAGCGCTCTAGTGCATGGGCCAGTGTACTTTTTATTGATGGAATAGAATACTGTTGCTTAATGTTCTACAGGAACCCACTGTCCACTGTCCAGAGCTGGTCTCTGTCGTGTACTGTTTCCAGATGTTTGCTATCTGGCTCTTCTCACTTGCTTAAGACATAGGCAGTGTTTACCACCACATTGTTGTGGGAGAGCTTCTGGGGTACTAGCAAGAGCAAGCAAGGCTGCTAAGATGAGTCTGACTGTTTTGTTAATAATGACATAACAATAGTAACAATATACTACCTATGTACTCAACACCTCAAATACACTGTCACCCTTAATTTTTTCAAAATCTCAGTGGTAGAGTTGATATTGTCATTACTGTTTTACAGGCAAGGAAACTGAAAGCCTCAATGTTCCACGGCTAATAAATGGAAGTTTCAGGATTCAAAACCCAGACAGTTTTACTCAGGAGACCTCCAGCTCTTTATCTTTTTGGTGCACTATCACTTTAAAGACCTTCTGCTGGAAGCCAAATTGCTGGGAGAAAGAGAAAGTCCTTTATGGCTGCTCTGAGAGCTTTCTTAGTACATTCATGGCCATTTAGAAAGGCTTATTGGCCCTAGTGAGGGGCTCAAAGGCCAGCCAAAAGAGACAGGGCTGCCCCCTCAGGCTCAGCTGACAACTGAGGACCTGAGGCCTCATATTTCATCTCTTTCCTTGCAGGGAAATTCACCTGCATCGAGGTAAAATTTCACCTGGAACGGCAGATGGGCTACTATCTGATTCAGATGTACATCCCTAGCCTACTCATCGTCATTCTGTCCTGGGTCTCCTTCTGGATCAACATGGATGCTGCCCCTGCCCGTGTAGGCCTTGGTATCACCACTGTGCTCACCATGACAACCCAGAGCTCTGGCTCCCGGGCCTCTTTGCCTAAGGTGAAGAGATATGCAAGGGAACCTGCTTGCCATCAAGCTCCCCATTCCCCATTCATTCCATGCTCCTTCCTGCTCACCATCTGCCTTTGATCTAGAGTTGAGAAGAGCCACTGAGCAAGAGCAAGTATCTGACATTCCCTCTTCGCCCACAGTACACTGCTAATAACATTGCTAACAATGTGGGGGCTGAGCTTAGGGGTGCTGTCTGGATAAGGAATGAGTAGATGCAGTGACTTATTTACTTTGACATTCTTTGGGAAATACTGGCATGTCCAAAATGAAAAGATCCTTATCAAGTACAAAGTCTCACTCCCTTACACACAGATTGGAATAAAACCCAGGAGGTAAAATGACCTTCTCAAAGTTATGTCCCACCAGAAATACCCAAAGAAATATCAGGATTTTGAGCCAACTTCTGTCCTCTTGCTATATCAGAAATAAGATACTACTGCAAAACACTCTAGATACAGTATTCTTTGGGGATGCAAAAATTTTGAGGTAGCAAATAGCAATTAAAGCCAGTAGACTCTCATCATCTGGGGCCTGGTGATGTTTTGATTATGCAGAAATATTTGTGCTGAGACTAGTAACAGTTCTCCTAGCCTCAGGTCTTTATGTAGGGAATTTGGAGGTTACTTCAAAGTCCTTAGAGTCAGCAAGGCTCAGAGCAAAGCAGGGATGAGACTATTAATTTATTCATTCAATAAATATTTTTTGAGTATGTACTATGTATCAAACACTGTACTTAGGCATGGAGGAATAATGGGAAGCAAGCAAAGCAACACAGTTTCTTGTGCATCTTGCAGTAAACATGTTTTCTCTTACTCTGATTTGTCAAGAACCAGGCTCCCATCTTTCAATGCACGATCCTAATAAGACTTTTTACTAGGGACTTAAGCAAGGGTTGATCTGCACCATCTATGATGAAATTCTGAATTTTTTTATATGGGGGGGGAAGCAGTGGTTAAATGTAAGAAAGTCAGACTTATTTGGGTTTAAATGTTAGCGTCATAGTGTGACCTTGCATTTGTGAGGCAGATGGTAGAACCACTGAGCTAAATCCTCAGCCCTTAGGTAAATTCTTCAACCTCTCAATTTCTTTGCCTGTAACAAAGGAATAAGAAAGAAAGCCTCTACGATAGGATAATTATGAAAAATAAACAATGTAAAAATATACAGGACAAGGGCCGGGGATTTAGCTCAGCGGTTCGGTGGCCTGCCTTGCAAGCGCAAGGACCCGAGTTCCATCCCCGGTACCAAAAACAAGCAAACAAACAAAAATATACAGGACAAGGGCCGGGGATTTAGCTCAGCGGTTCGGTGGCCTGCCTTGCAAGCGCAAGGACCCGAGTTCCATCCCCGGTACCAAAAACAAGCAAACAAACAAAAATATACAGGACAGTGTTTGGTACATAACCACTCAATAAATATCATTATAATGATCAGGTATCAGAGTTGAAAACAGTGAGTGCTGGATCTGGGACTAAGGCAGATAGTATTGTCCCCATTTATTTTTGATTTGGTGGGAAATCTTTGAGGTATTCCAAATCCCTTTAGTGGAAAACAGTGACAATGCTCAGATGAAGATCAATTGTCCAAGAAGTTGATGGGGATCACTTCCTGCAAATATGTTTTATAGGTGGATGGGAATATTGACAAGGCTCTGAGCAAGATTGACTTAGACAGGGTCAGACAGGGATGTGATGGCTGTGTTATGGTAGTGGCCTTGAATGGAGACCAGAGACAGGAAAGTAATTTTGCACCAAGAACCCTGTCCCAGTTTATTGCCACTGGCCTGCATGGAGAGTCATCTGTAACTCAGAGAGATAGAACAAGCAATTTATGCCTTCTTCTTGACAAATAACTTCCTTTTCTAGTCCCCTTCTGTGAGTACTACCATCCATCTTCTCCCAGGAATCACTTAGTTTCCTCATTTGGAAAAAAATGGACTTTGTTGGGAGGTTGTTTGTTTGTAACATTTGGTATCTCATTAGATTTTAACGACTTTTTTTATGGCCTCATTGGCCAGTAAGCAAAATACCCAAGCACATACCCCAAACTAAATAATCCTCATTAGCCAGCCCCACAAAGCCAGGGACTCAGTAAGCCAGGGAGCTTCTGCTCACTCAAATTTGTACAACATCAGGAGCCCCAAGGAAAGACATAAGGCCAAACCAGGGTCTTCTGAAAGCCACACCTATTATACTCCCAATACTTTATTGTCAAGGATGAGTGGCAGGGGCTTGCTTAATAAGAGAATTCAAATGGAGTTGCTATTCCCCCATGTTTCCAGGAAACTTCTCTTCTTTCCCCTTATGAGGGACCCCAAATGCATTGATCACTCTTTGCCAGGCCTCTGATCTCCACAACTGCAAGCAGCTCAGAGCAAAACAGAAAAAATTACAGCAAGGAAGAAAGTCCTAATTTTCTCCAGATGCTATGAGCACTTGAGACAAGTAATGACAAGAAGGGCAGAGAGAAGTAGAATCCAGCACTGATAAACATTATTACTAAACCATCCATCTTTTCATTTGTTCAAAGAATACTTACTATGTTCTAGGCACTTAGCTTGGAATTGGCAATAGAATATTGAACAACATAAACAGTTCCTGCCAGGGAAGAGGTCACAGGCTGGGGAAGGGAATGGCCAGGTGGGTGATAGATACTAAGAAGGTATAGGTAGCCTGGGTACATTCAGCAGGACAACCAATATAGCCTGAGATAATAAGGGAAGGCTTTTCAGAAGATGTGGTATCTAAAGAAGAAGCTGAAGGATAAGGGAAAGTTATGCAGCTAAAGGAGGAAAGGGGGAAGGGAGACTGGCTTTTTGGAAAACTGCTGAAGTAGCTCATCATCGGCAGGGTTGTAGATTGTAAGGGGCAGGCTGGGGATTTAGCTCAGTGGTGCTGCCACCTGCCTTGCAATTGCAAGGACCCAAATTGGATCACTGGTACAAAAAAACAAAAACAAAAACACAAAGATTGTAAGGGGCACATGGAGGCATGGAGTAAGCCAAAGCTAGATGTCATAGTAAGTGAAACACTGATTGGCTAGTAAGGGTAATGGAGAAACACTGAATGGCTCTAAGAAAGGGATTAATATGGTAAGATTTCTATTTTGAAAACAAACTCTGGCTGCTGTTTGGAGAACAGATTAGAAGTGGCAAGAATAGATCTGGAAAACCATTTAGGAAACTCCTGTATTCTTTTAAATGAGGTAGGATAGTGAGTAGATGGATTCTGGACACTTTTTTCATGTATTATTGACATATTAATCATTAAAAAGGCTTTCTGCCTGGTACTTAAATGTATCCTTTCCATAGATGGTTCAAAGCCCTTCATGACTCTCTTGTCATTAACTCATTGATCTTCATTGCAGTATTTGACATCCGGGGGGGTGGGGGGCAGACACAGTGGGACTGGGAGATCGACCATGAAGTAGGATACCTTCTTAGTAGGATAATGTGTGCACATTGGAGGGAAGGGCTGTGTATTATAGGATTTTTAGTAGCATCCCTGTCTTATACACATTAAATGCCAGTGGACCCCACTACCTAAAAATCGTGTGACCAAAAATGTCTCAAAATATTGTCAAATGCCCCTAGGGGTGGGGCAGAGTTTTTCTCTATTATAAAGCACTAAGGTAAAGGCTGGTGGTATAGCTCAGCAGTATAATGCTTACCAAGCAAGTGTGAGGCCCTAGGTTAGAGCTACTGCACCAGGAAAAATAAGACTAAGGTAGACCATTTATCCAGTGAAACTTGCTCCTCACTTAGGATCTGCAGCACCACCCCCAACCCCGCCCAGCATAGCAGAAGTTGTGAAAGAAGTCATGTGTCATGCACATATCCTACTCCTGCTAGGGAGCCTTACATAGTAAGCTCAATGTTATGCAGGGAGTCAATAAGGAAGTGAAAGAATCTTATAAAGCTGAGCTCTGTCCCTTCTTCCTGATCCATGTTGCTGCAACCCTGTTCCAGGAAAGGTCAGTGTTCAACCTTCACAAGGGAAATGGAAAAGAAAACTACTTAATAGCTGCTGAAGCAGGTAGTAAAAGGAGAGTACTAGGGACTGGATATGTGGATGTCAAGAGTGCCTGACAATTGGTGAGTATCCTGATGCATAGTGAGTGGTGCTCCCTCAGGATTATACCCTGTGCTCCCTTCCAGGCTGAGAGATGAAGTCCTAGCTTACTGATGAACTCCATTACTTAGGAGGGACTCTTGCAAAGAGCAGCAAGGAAAACTATAGGGTGAAGGAGAAAAACAGAAAGTGGAGAAAAGAAAGGAAGAAGCTCTTAGTCCGTGAGGCTGTAGCCTAGGAAAATGGCAAAGGCAGTGGATTGAGAACCCAGAACCTCCAAGTCATAGTGCCACCTTTTTACCGGGTAATCTTTGATAAGATTTTTTCTCTTTGAGCTTTAAGTATCTTCATGGGTTTCACATGGGAATGATGAACTCTACTAATAACTCCCAAGACTGTGAAGACCCAAGGGGATAAAAGAATAAACAAAGCAGTGTTCATGATCATTGCTATTTATTGAAAGAAAAGTATCAGAAGAAGACAAGAATGAAAAGAATAATAAGCATCAGAAGCAGAAATGTAAAAGGAATAAAAGAAGAAAGGAAAAGGAGTATAGGGAGGAAAGGCAGAGAGAAGTGGAGGGTGGAGAGTGCAGAGAGTTGAAGGATGATGGGTAGCCCGATGTTTATGACATGAGTGTTCAGATAATGAGACAAAACATGGAAAGCTTCTTTAAAAACGAGAAAAAAGTCAGGATAAAGCAGAATAACAGCAGGCAATCGATAAGGGCTGGAGATCCACTCGACCAGCCATGGAAGGACTCCAAGAAGGCTGACTGCCCTGCTTATGGATGTTGCAGGTGTCCTACGTGAAGGCAATCGACATCTGGATGGCTGTGTGTCTGCTCTTCGTGTTCGCTGCCCTGCTGGAGTATGCTGCTGTCAATTTTGTCTCTCGTCAGCATAAGGAATTCATGAGATTTCGAAGAAGGCAGAGGCGCCAACGCATAGTGAGTATAGCAAGGTGTGGGAGCTTCCTTTATCCTTTAGATTACTTCTTCCCTACTGCTTCTCCCACAAACCAGGACCCAACCGAAGTTCTGCAAGGATTTCAAGGAACCCCAATTCTAGTTCTAAGCTGATTACAGTTAGCTAAGTGTTTTAACCTCTTTAGCTTTATTTCCTTATCTCTCAATGGGACATTAGCCCCTATAAGGTGGTATAATAGAATAGTTAAGAGTGTGGATTCAGTGTCTGGTACATAGTAAGCACTGAAAATATGTTACCAAGATGTAGAACATTTTCAAGTCCATTCTTATGCCACTGCTTTGATAAGTAGTAATTATTGTATCTTGGTGTTTCCACACACAGAAGGAAGTCACACTAGTCTGTCCTACACTAACTGATGGTTAAGAAGTCAAGTCAGACATGGGAGTGCCTTTCTAGGGAAGCATTTTAAGAGGATCCCCATAACTAAGATGGAATTGAAAGCGTACTTCTTGCCTCTTGTTGGGTTTCTTGATCTTCTAGTAAGCACTGAAAATATGTTACCAAGATGATAGGGAAGCATTAAGAGGATCCCCATAACTAAGATGGAATTGAAAGCGTACTTCTTGCCTCTTGTTGGGTTTCTTGATCTTCATTGGATGCATCAGAGTTGTTTGGTTTAAGCTGTTGTTCCCCCTCATTGTTGTTGGATAACCCCATTTCTTCTACAGTAGAGTGATCACCTGGGAAAATATGAGGAAGTGTGTAGTCATGACAACAGAGGCAATTTATTCTCAGTTGCCCAGAAAGTAGGTGTTAGGTAAGTTGTCATGACAACAGTGATGCCTGAGCTACCCTCACAGAAGCAAGCCTCCAATTATGAGCAAAGCAGAAAACCTTTACTGAGCTACATACTAGTTGTTTAATCTTGGAGACACAGAGTTCTGGTCTGTCTTGAGTTTTGACTCCATGTTTTTTGCCTAAACCAGAGTCTTTAAAACCAAAAAGCAAAGCGCATAATGATCTCTGGGGGATAGAAAACTCATTGTTAAAATCCTGGCTCTAGGGGCTGGGCTCCATAGTTCAGTGGCAGAGCACTTACCTAGCATGTGTATAGGTCCTGGGTTTCATTCTTGGTAACACAGGGGGAAAAAGTCCTGGTTGTAACCTATCTGAGCCACATCAGGACAAGGACTGTTCCTCTCCCTAAAATTCCGTTTCTCAATTCAGCTGCTGTGGGGGCACTTCTACCATATAGCCACATTAATAACATCTCACAAACTGTCTGTATGGTTTCATGTCCCTTGTAAGGTCCTTCTGCAGAGGACAGGGCTGGTGTCTCATGTAGGGATTTGTCCGAATTTGTCAACTCTTGCCTTGTTGTAGACCTTTCCTTGGGTCCTATGTGGCAAGCCCTCTAGTGGATTTATCTACAGCTACATCTCATTGAGTATCAAAAAATGAGTACATTCTTTAACAGATCTGAAAGCTAAGAAAAGAGGTTTTCTAAACTAACTGTCCCATCACTTACTTTAGTTGAGCAAAATCTGCCTGCAATTACCAAAATCTTGTCCTTATAGGGGCTTTGGTCTTGGTACCTTTTTAATGCCTACCTTAGAAAAGAAGAGCAGGTTGCAAACCGGTTCAGAGTTCTTTTTCAGCTCAACTGGCTGTGTAGTTGTCCCAGCAAGGGAATATTATAGGGCTACTCTAGGATGACACTAGTCCCACCACCTTCCCTGCACTCCCCCAACCCTCAACTGTCCACAACCTGTCACCTCCTGCTCATATATGTTGATCCTGAGCTCATAATGGAGCCTGTCATAACCAGTGCTCAATTATTACAAAAGCCTTAACAGCAGCCTGAGCCTTGCTTAGGACCCTGGGGTTGCATGAAAATGGATTGAGACTTATTATTAATGTAAATAAAACCTGAAAAATCAAACCTTTGCCATTAATCATATACCTTGTCCAGGCTCCTTAAAGCTACTGCTATCTCAGTGAAACTCTTAACAGGAATCCTGGAGGCACTAAGCAGACTAAACAAGTTAATGGTGAGTTTATCCCTCACCTGAACTTCTCTCTAGGCCTCACTGTTCCAGCTGGAGAAGCAGAAGACTTTGGTCTGAGAGGAGCCCTTGGCATGGGGGGGGGCGGTCTGCGGATTTTTGTGCTTTGTCTTCCCAGCTGGTCTATAAGATTCAGAGTGAAGCTCTCTTTTGTATCACTTCAGCAGGGCCTTAAAGCTCAGAACACAGCAACCATGTAACCCAGCCTACCAACTTTAGCTGATTGGCAAGGGCTATGAGACTGGAAAAAGAGAAAATCCTGCCATTGTCAAAAGAAAAACACGAGAACTAAGAGAAATTTCAAAATACTGCCATGTGTTCCTGGTGGCTTGATCCCTGAACCCTATTCACCTTTCTCTCTTTTACCTAGCCCCTTCTCTTATTTCTAATATCTTTTCTTTTTGCAACTCTTACTTCTATGCATGTTGCTTTCCCATCTCCACACCTTGCTTCCTACTGTGACTTTCATCTCCAGCTTGGTTTTTAGAAGATATTTGCCCCCCAGCTTCTCAGCTCTCTTCCCCTATACATAGCTAAAAAAAATAAAGTTCTACGTCATAGCTATGTAAGCTGTATTTAAGGCTCCACTGAGACTTTCTCACACACACACACACACACACACACACACACACACATATACACACAAAGACACAGAATCTGGTCTATATAGACGATACCCAAATCCAGGACCCCCCACCCTCGGATTTCAGGCCACTCACTTTTTGTCTCCCAACTATAAGACATTCATATTAAAATGATAAACAGCCTAGAGCAGTTTACTCTATTGGCCATATTTGCTCTCCTGTTTGAAATGTTGTTTTCCAGCTTGGGAAATATTTCCAAATAATTCCCTTTAGATTTACTGTGATGGGAGAAAAGAGGAAATAATTGCATCTACAGAGACATAGCAGTAGGATCCAACTTTCTCTTCCAGAGTTTTTTTTGTTCTCAAATATGTACTGTATATTCTATGCTGGCGGACAGGTGAGCAGTGGAAAACAGAGTGACCTGAGGGAACCTGAACTGGAAAGCAAGAGAAATTCCTTGGGAGATATTTTGCTTGCCTCGGTTTCTTTACTTCTATAATGGGTCCAGCAAACCTCTTTAGAACAAAATGTGTAAAGGTTTTTGGTGACAGAAGCTATGGGAATAGCTTTGAGCAAAGAGCTAAAGCTCCCCCACTACAACTATTCAGGTTCAAAGTACAACCACAATAGTCAATTGCCTCTGACCTGCATGCATACAACTCCTCTACAAAAACTGTAACAAATCAAGGATAGGACAGCAAAGCTATCCGGTGAGCAAACGCAGATTCTTTTCCATACCAAAAGTATCACTCCCTTTCTAGAGGCTAAAGGGCATCATGGGATTGTGAGGAGTGAGGCAAGGAGTAAGTCTGTTTACCTGCCAAGTACTTTGTAATGCAACGACATTTTCTTCTGATACTCTTCTGTTTGAGACCCTGAGAGGATGATGGCTTCACAAAAACAGCAGGCCATTCCTTTTCCTTTATTCTGAAGCATATGGCTCTTAGTCCATTCACTCATTCAACAGATACTATCTACAGAGTGGCTGTCAGGTTCCAGGCACAGTCCTAGGCACTAGGGATACAGCAGCGAATTAGACCAATGCCCAAGTTTGTACTATAAGTCCATAAGCAACAGAGAAGAGATAGAATCTGCTAGTGAAATTGTGGCCTGAGTTTGCCTGTCCTTAGTGCCTGCTACCAAGCCTACTCTCATGACAATTCAACTTCTGGTAATGTATAATCAAGGGTTACAAGGACATACTACACCAACACCTAATCTATGAAGCTACTAAATGTGCTATCATAGCTGCAGAGGCCTCAATATAAGCATCCTATGCTGCATAGTGGTTAAAAATGTCACATCCATACCATATACATATATCATGTTCTTACCCTTTAGAGTAACTACCTAAGGTAGCTGTAGGGTAACTAACACGTTTGCTTTGGAATTCCCCAGTTTTAGCATAGAAAGACTCAAGAAGCCCCTTGACTCTGAAAAAACCAAGACATTTTACAAGGGGACACTTTATTTTGATTTCTTAAGACAGCGTAAGCTTTCATTCCAAAACCTTCAATAATTCAAAAATTGTAACCTTCTTTGAAGGATATATATTCTTAACTGCCCTTTAGAAGTAGATAAAATCAGGCTTATTTGGATCTTTAAAAATTTTCTTAGTATATTTTGCAACACATAATAAATGTATTTATTGTGAGGCATTGGTCTTAAATAAAATCAGAGCAAATAGGTTCTGAGTGGGAGCCCAAGGGCCTACTGTATAAATAAAAGTATTGATCACCCAGGGGCTTTGGTTCTCCCCTCCCCTTTTGCAAGTGTTTTTATAAATTATGATAAAATACAGTGAATGCTGCTGTCTAGTGCCACCCAATAAAAAGAAAGGGTCATGAAAACATTACAATATGTCCTCATCTACTTTATTCACTGGATCTGACAGTACAAAACTTCAGGATCTTCCACAAAGTCAAAATGATCATGAAAGGCAAATGTTTTGAATCAATGCAGGACATCAGGATAGCCCCAATAATGCCAAGTAAGGACACTCATGAAAGAGGGCTTTCCAGAACTACTTAAAGGTGCAAGAATGATGAAATTAGTGTACACAAAGATAAGAGTATTTTGAGGGGATTAGTAGCAATGTATCTTTTGCTGTAATATTTTTTATTTTAAACATTCACTGTATTTTTTTCAATTTTTTATTAGTACATGTTTGCAATACAGAATGAAATTTCATGGGAGTTGGTACATGTACATATAACATCTTAATTCTTTTTTCATTGCTTTTCCCTCCTCCTCCCTTCCTCCATCTCTTGATCCCCCCCTTCCCCTCTGTAAAATATTTATTTCCTTATTATTTGTCTTTTATTTTTCTCTTTATTTATATTATGGGCTTCTCATAAAAAAGAAACCATGTCGTAATTAAGCTTATGTGTTTGATTTATTTCACTTACTATTATTATGATCTCAAGGAGCATTCATTTTCCTCCAAATGAGTCAAGTTTAAAGAAATGGCATAATGGGCCAGTGATTTAGCTCAGTGATTCTCCTGCCTGCCTTGCAAATGGGAAGGTCCCAAGTTCAATCCTCGGTACCCACCCCCCCAAAAAAGAAAAGAAATGGCATAGTATTCCATTATGTATAAATACCACATTTCCTTTTTTGATCATACCAGTGTGTGTGTGCGCGTGTGTGTGCTAGTGCTGGGGATTGAACTCAGGGCCTTCGTACTGAATTTCAATCCCCAGCCCCCTTTTTAAATTTTGAGATAGGGTCTCTTTAAATTGCTAAGTTCCCCAGGTGTTGCCCAAACCTCTGATCTGGGTTCAGCCTCCCAGAGTGATCAGATTACAGTCATGTACCACCACATTTCACTTCTATCTCTTTTGTCAGTATCTTTCTGTCCTTATTTCCTGGCTGCTGGCTGTGTTATATTACTTACGGCTTTCAGCTGACTATTGGATAAATAGATTTTTTGTAGTTTGCCACATAACTCAGTGCTTACATAAAATTTACTTCTTTAATGCTGATGTATTATTACAATGCGTAGATGGTACATGAATAGAATGTTCACTAGGTAATACATGTACTGACCCTTCTGACAAAATTGCTAATCTGCAGACAACAGAGTAATCAGCTTTATTCTACTTTCAATGACCCATTAGGTTATTTAAGACTTTTAGAATTTTTAGCATGAAGTTAAGATAATTTTTAAAAAGATATTATATACAAGGAAAGCTAATTTTGAAGATTTTGAAATTCATTAAATTTCACTACATCTAAATATCTCAGCTCTTTACTGTCTGGTGATTTTGTTATTCTGTTTATTACTAGCCAGAGATAACTTGACATTCAAGTGCCTTCTCATGGTAGACGGCACTTCATTGGGTTTTAAATGGACCTAAATGGTGTTATGCATTTTAAAAAGGCAGCTGGGAATCTATCTGTAAGTGGAATCATAACATATACCGTATGTTACCATATACAGGTGCTTAGCATACAACTATCTCGTGAATGGTTTTTTTTGCCTGTGTACTCAGTCACCTTGTCTGCAGGTCATCTATGAGATATTTGTGTGGCCTGACCTTTGTCCCTCTGCCTTAGAGTTTTAACCTCAAATTCTGCATTTTGTTACCTATAATTTTAGGAGGAAGACATCATACGAGAAAGCCACTTCTACCTCCGTGACTATGGCCTAGGCCACTGCTTACAGGGAAGGGATGGAGGCCCAATGAAAGCTTCTAGTATATATAGCCCCCAACCTCCAGCTCCTCTTCTAAAAAAGGGAGAAACCATGCGGAAACTGTATGTGGATCAAGCTAAAAGAATTGACACCATCTCCCGAGCTGTTTTCCCTTTTACTTTTCTCATCTTCAATATCTTCTACTGGGTTGTCTATAAAGTGCTACGGTCAGAAGATATCCACCAGGCACTGTGAATTGGTGGGAGATATGGAGTCCAGCTGCTGGCTTCCTGCTTTCTCCTGGGTGGGCTTTTCCTCTCTATTAGATTCCATCAAGGACTTAGACAATTTCTTCCTGATCTTTCTCCCTCTCAGAACAACTACCAGTACCACAACTATATGGGCCTATACTGCATAGTGACAATGGTGGCTGTACTTACAGGATGGCTCATCTACCCTAATCCAGATTTTCTCCATACTCTACCACTTCTCATGAGAATAAAGCTTGGGCATGTTCCCGTGGCCAGGATGACTTGCTTCCCTTTCTGGGGACCCTCTGTTTTCCACTATTTTAGTGCAGAATATTTAGGCCACTGCTATTATACCCTGGTGTTTCTCATCTTAATCTGCACCACTCCTCACCCTTCAACCATCTACCCAAAGGCTGGCCTTTACTTGGCCCTCTGTTCCTTCTAATGCATGCTCAAATAGAGCCCTTTCCTATCCACAAGTGCTGCCCTGTGTGACCAGTCAGGCTTTCTTACAGTGAGAGGAAGGCAAAGGCAGAGGTTCCCCTTTTCATAACAAAAATAAACAGTCATGAGCTGCACTGAGCTTAAGCACTGTTATGTGATCCAACAAGAGGTATCCAAGTCTCCTGAGAAGTTCAACACTATGAGAACTAGTTACGGAATCTTGGACCTTCAAAAAGATGGCCGTTCCAGATATGGCCAAACTTCCTGGTCTCAGAAATATCTGTTCTTTTCCCTAATGAGCATGGTGACAGAGTGTTGATCTCCTGAGTAATGAAAAAAGAGAATAAATACTTATTCTTTAAATAAATTACTTGATGATGCTAGGAAGCTCAAGAAAAAAGAGATCAGGCTGGACATGGTGGCATATGCCTATAATCCCAGCTACTAGGGAGGCTGAGGCAGGAATATCACAAACTCAAAGCCAGGTTGGGCATCTTGGCAAGATCTTACCTCAAAAATATTTTTTTGGTAAAATAAAAAAGCACTGGGGATGTATTTCAATGGTACAGTGCTTGCCTAGCACATTTGAGGCCCTGAGTTCAGTCTCCAGTACTGCATAAAAGAAGGAAGTGGGGAGGGAAGGAAGGAGGTAGACAGGGAAAAGAAAAGTGAGATCAAAGGTAGTAGAACACAGGAAGAGCAGAATACAGAAACTATCCTCAGAGTGTGTTGTGGGCTGAGTTTTCATTTGTTTCTTCTTTTTTTCCAAAGTCTCTTTACCCTTCAGGACCTTTCATTTCCAACTTGCTCCTTCACCTCCTTTGGTAAGCAAATGGTGCCAAGCAACCTTTTTCAGGCTAGAGTGGGCTTCAAAGTTCCTGGGGAGAAACTAGGTAAATAAAGGACCCACATCCTGGACAAATAGAGAGAAAAACTCTTTTTCCCTCTCCCTCCCCTCAGTTCAGGGTGTTCCATATTGAAAGTCAACAGAACAAGGAACAAAGTAAATCCTATAATCTACCAACCTAAGGGTAGCAGTTGTAGAAGTTAGAGGGCCATAATCAGAGCTATTTCTTCATTTTTGCCATCTTTTCTCCTTCTATAGTAAAGAGCTGTGAAGACGTGTAGCAGCCAGTTAACACTACCAGAAATGTCAGAATACAGAGGGTTGGTATGGAAGAGCCTATTTTAGGCCTAACCTATCACTGAAACATGGGGAAGCACTGGTCTGCTACACTGAGTCCTTTGAAGTGACTCAGCTATGAGGAAGACAAACAGGATAGGCAGATGGGATAGATTAAAGTGTAAGGCTAAGAGGTATAAGAGATAATTGAATAATCTCTTAGATACCTTGTCCTTTTCTCTGGGCCTAGAATAATGAACTACATAAATTAAATCTCTCTCTCTCTCCCTCTCTCCCTCCCTCTCTCTCTCTCTCTCTCTCTCTCTCTCTCTCTCTCTCTCTCTC